GTCCAGGGACCCAGCTGTTCTCTTGGCCTGCCCTCCCCCCGATTCTCTGCCATCCCTTCCTGAAGTTTCTGTCAGGGGAAACTCAACATAGCTCTATTGGATTTAGTCTGTTCTTTGTACGCCAGCATTACTGACAGCCACAGAAACATCTACAGTGCAACCACGAGGATTTATGGATAGCTTTTGCCCTTGAAACTGCAGAGCCAACAAAGTGATTTTGGACAGCAGGTTTGGTGAACCTCAGAGGAAAGTTGTCTTACCCCACCTCCCCCCCCAAAAAACCAAACCAAACAAACAAAAAAAAAGCCACTGTCATAGTAATAAAGTGAAGGACATGGCTTTGGAATTTTGCATTCCCTCCATGACCCACCAGAGACTAGAATAGTTTTAAAAGAAACACCTGTACCTAAACATATCAGCTGAGATATAAAAGGAGCCTAAAAGTATGTGTTCACTACAATTAAAAACCCACATCTGGGAGGGTCCCAGAGCTCAGGCCGCAGCCCCATCCCAAACTTCTCCACTACACTGCAATTAAACAGCTCTGCAACCTGAGTCAGCTGGCATAGGCCAGCTGTGGGTGTCTAATAGCCATGGAGACATAACCGAAGTGACTTAGGAGTTGTCCACCCACAGTGATTGCTTATACCCATTATAAATTTTTAGAAAGTTGCTGAATAATATTCTCATTTTAGGATATAAAACAAGATTTTTTTTAAAATGGCAATGACATGGATTAGTTCAAAACACAGAACTTTAAGGAGAAGAAAATCCAGATTCAGATCTGAATTTTATATGTAGGAATGCTTGTGATTAAGAAACAAAACCTAAAATCTAAACTGCCACAATCTGCATGAGCAAGATATTTATATCTCCAAACTGAAATCAATGATTAATGTTATTCTCCCCTGGTTTGAATTAAAAAAAAAAATTGTAAGGGACCCTCTTTCCAATTCTGGCAGCTGAAATTTCACAGAAAAATGCAAGACTTGACAAGAATGGAGGAAGGTCTCATGAGAATGCTAACCCACTTAAAAAAATATCCACCACTTAACATGGCCAAAATCCCATACTATCAGATGGATATCGCTGGATGTCAGCCATTTGGAATTCTGTACCACTGAAATCAAGCCTCCACCCTCAATGCAGCTTTCTTAGATCATAGCTAATTAAAAAAAAAAAGAAAACTGTTAGTTATTTGACTCTGCTTTTTTTTTAAATTAATTACTATTTTCCTATAAAGGGTAAAGAGTATTTTTCTTTTAATGAGTCAAATTATGGGAGAACTCAGTGACAGATTTAGTGGCAGATTATCTTAAAAATAGTTGGAAGGAAAAAAAATAAATTAGAAGGAAAACACCCACAAAACATAAAGCCCTTTGCCACCACAGGTTATTTTCCCCTGCTGAGAAAAAACATTAAATGCCATTCTGCCTCCCCATTTGAGACATTGAATCTGAGAGATCCAGCATAAAAGGCCTGGTGAACATTGTGCCCAATAAGAAATGTTTTTTTAAAAATGGTTATAATGACACTGAAATCATTAGAATATTCACAAAAGTTCCCCTTGGATTCAAATCAGCATGTGGGAGTGAAGGATTAAGATCAAGTATTCACAGCACTTCCTAGTCAGATGCTGAGATATCAAAGACTGCAGAGTAAGGTGTACTGGTGTTTCTTGGAGCTGGTGTGGCTACCCAATAGCAAATAAGAACTGAGTGTGTGCGTATTCTAAATATTGTGTGTAGATTAAGTTTGTGATCTAGTTTTACTACTCAGATAGGAAAGCAAGAATAGCAGCTTTGGACTAATGAAGCTGTTTCTGAGCAAGCTTTTCCCAAACCACTCTGCCAACATATGCCAACCCTGCTCTTTGGAATCACTCAACGTCACATACACACCAAGCCTGACATGCCAATTGAGTCAACTTCTTTAGTCAACAAATTGGGGAAAATTGGGGCCATTTCATTGTCTCTCTTACATGACACAGAAAATGGAGTTACTCTGATAACAACAAGCTTGGAGACATCTGAGCAATGAGTACACAATACTGAATTTCAGTGTTAAGACTTGTGTCATCACCTTCCATCTGAGATTTCAAAGCTTTTCACAACATTCCAGGACATATACATGGTTGTGAGGAACAGTGTAGGGAGGTATGCAGTACTCCCATTTTACAGGCAGGGAAAACAGGGCACAGAGAAGTCAGAAATTTCCCCCAGGTCATTCAGCACAACAGTGACAAAATGTAAAACAGAACTCAGGTTTTCCAAAGCTCCAGTCTGATGCTTTAACCACTAGACCACTCCTCATCTTGAGAAAGGAAAAGGCTCCTTTCCATGGAATTTGCAACTCCCTTTAGAGTAGCTGTGGAGAATTCCTGTCAATAGGATGAAGGTGGCAATTGAGCTGATGGAGAGCCAGAAAGAGAAAAAAAGAACAGTTATTTAAATAAAAGGCCCGAGGTTCCCCATGCCGAGATGAGCTGCATCTCCACCCATGGGCAACATGGGATTTTCCTCAAGGGCAATAGCCCTACCTTGCTTTGGCGTGGAACTCTCCTCCCCAGCACCATTTTGTTTTAGGCCAAAGCGATATGAAGATCAAGCCATGCAGGATGCATTTTACTTTTTAAAACAATTCTCTTCCCTTTCAGGAGCTCAGTGAGGATATTCGTTGGCTTGTCGAGCGTCTTCCTGGAAACGTTGCAACAGCCGAGTCAGACAGAGAGTTCAGAAGTTCTCCTGAATGGTCCTGAAACAACAGCTGCAGCTGGAATCTGCTGCAAGGCTGCTGTGCATCGTGTCAGCAGTAGGTAGGAAGGTCTTCTGAAACCAAGTGTAACAGCTCAAGTGATTTGGCAAGTCTAGGCAGAAACGCTAAAGACCTTAACGCAAATACAGCCCCAGGAAAATGAGGGGGAGCTCAGTGGTTCCCTCCCACTTCAGGGCTTTTTCTTCAATCCTGATACACTTCATTACATTGCACTTCAAGTCAGATTTTGGTTTCTTTTCTGAAGAAGGGAAAGGGCGATAATGATCCACAAAAGGCACAAACTCTAGCATTTGCCATCTTCTCAAAGAGAGGTGTTTTGTCCATTGGCATGTTTACTGTCACATGAGCCACTGGATTCCAGGCAAGTAAAACAGGCTTGCTCACTCCAGCCAAGGAGTGACACATTCATGCCTGGCATTACTTTTCTGGAGGGTATTTACTGTTTTCTTTTTAGTGCTACTTTGAGTTCAAAGGGTTCAGTGAAGCCCCATTAAGCCATTTACATCAAACTGGTTAGTTAATTATCTTGTTGTAGACTTTAAATTGGTGATTTATAACCCCCCTCCCTCTACACACAGTCACACACACCCCGTATATGCCAGTATTTGGAAGCAATTCAGCAAAGCAATGCATTTTGTGGAGTGGATGACAGATGGGAAAAAAATCCCACACTTATGTTGCTCTGAATTAAATTGTTGAAGGGGTGGAAGGGAAAACACCCTACTGTTGGAGGTGCCATAGTTCAGGAGACTATCAACAGGTAGAATCTTTCTAATTCGGCACCCTTGGGACCTGCCCAGTGCTGAACCAGGGAATTTGCCAAATCATGGGAGGCTGATATTGTAATGAGCAGGTCTCTATTTTTATTTCACCAAGGCAAATAAATGGAACAGCACTTGAAATGCTGCTTAAGAATGTATGACCAGGGCTCAACAAACTATAGAATCTACTCACCCGGGGCGAGTAGATTTCAGCCGCATGCCTTGTTTACCGGCAGCACGTGCATGTGCAATGCGGCTCTTGCGCAGTGTGGGGCTGGCGAGCGGCTTTTGCCACCATTTGTCAAGCCCTGTGTATGACTATACTGATATAACTTACGCCTATGCCTAGCTAATGCTTATCAGCTCTCTTCATAACAAAGTGTTAGAGTTATTGCACAATTTTACTCAATTGGCACAAAGAAATAAGTAGAAGCAGCATAAAAAACATGCTTACACTTAGCAGCATAACCAGCACTTCCACTGCTTGCTGGGCTCTTAAGACATGTAGGGGTAAATTAGAACTAAATACCAGCACAGAACACTGAGAGCCAGGACTGGTGGCTGTAAACAAATTCTACAGGAAACTCGGCCTCACCCATGGTAAGTGGACATCTATCTAACTAAAAATCATGCTGAACCACAGCTGTGGCTGGACCAGATAATGCTGGACTAGAGTGGCTGAACCTGTAATTGAGAGACAAGTGCTCGCTATAAGTCTGGGTCAATTCTCTACTTCCTCATTTATTCTTATGTAGTGTGGAGGATCATATCTAAGTTGGGCAGGACAGCTCTGACAACAAACTGTTCTAGTACCCTGGTATCATCCCTCTCAGAGATCTACAACGTCCATTTAACACAAAAGTTCATCAGTTTGGCAGGGAGAGGCTACAGCATGAAAATTTCAGCCGTTACATGCAGGGGAGGGGATTGCAGCTCCATGGGAGCCAGTGCACACCAGGAACTTAAAAGCCAGCTCCCCACTCATACTGGGTGCCTGTGTGTTCTAATGGCACTTTGCTCATGGAGGCTTGGGTTATTCCCATTAGAGATATTAAAATGCGTTTACTTAAGTAAACATGTAACCACTGAAAAATTCAGTGATTACAGTGTTAACATATGGGGCAGAGGGCAGTCGACTCCTTGGGAGCTGGTGCCCGCAGGGAGCTGGCTTTTAAGCTCCTGCATGTAACCATGCTCATCAGGTTACCAGGCACATGGTTACATTTTCACATCCTTAATCCCCATCAGTCTTTCCAGCCATTCTGGATTTTCATAGGTAAATGAGATTGCAGAGGCCCATAGCCAGAAAATGTTAGCCAAGGCCCCCAAAAAACAGCAAAAAGGATGCATGTTAGTTTCCCTTCCCCATCCCAACCAGCTCTTATGGGGCTAGAACAGTGAACAACCTACAGCTCCACTGGGGTTTTAGTGTGGCCCATACACCTTCTTTCCTGTCCCCTGCCCCCATGCCTCTCTTTCATTGGGGGCCCTGCACTTATCTACTCCTCTCACTCCCTCCCAGCATTTCTGGAGCACAGTGAATCCGATGATTCATGGCACCCAAGCTCAGGAAAGTGGAGGCACAGATCATCCAATTCACAGTGCTCTGGAAATGCTGGGAGGGAAGGAAAGGAGAAGGGACAGGGCACGCTTGGGGAAGGAGGCAGGGGACGAGACCAGGTGGTGGTCTGAGGGAAGGGGTAGAGTGGGGGTGGGTCTCGCAATGCAGGGGAGAGTCAAGCAGCCCATGGCAAAATGAGATATGACATGCATTGAAAACAAGAGCACGTATCAGGTGCATGCTGATAGCACGCAACACAGTAAAAGCAGTGCAGTCCCCTCTGCTTCTTTGTTATTTTTGCCAGCAATTTAATTTGCCCCAATAATGGATCACTTTGTGTTGCAAAGGCTCAATAAAACAGCAGAATCAAACACAATGTATCTAATCTTATTCTTGGGGTCATGGTTAGTGCATATACCTGATTTTAATCTTGCAGTTTAGTGAGATGAAGGAGGGCCATTCATACAGCCCATTCACTAGTCTTGGCTATCCATCACTGGGATAGAAGCAACTGACCTATTGGACCAATATGCTGAGTTGTACTGACCTTTTAAACATATAGGCTATGTCTACACTGCAGCACTCCAGTATCCCGAAATAGCTATTCTGTGTCCTTTGAGCATGCCCATTATTTCAAAGTATAACAGGCTTGCTATTCCTATGTTCCTGTAAACCTTATTTCACAAAGAGTAAGGGGAGTTTCAGAATAGCAATTTATTTCGAAATAAGTGCTGTGTAGTCAGCACCAAGTTTTGAAATAAGCTTTTTCAAAATTAACTCAAAATAAACTATGCAATACAGACCAGTCCTTATGCTCATGTGCAGCCATACAAACTTTAGAGATCTAGTCACATAGGCTAGCTTGAAGATCACTTAGTATTGACAGAAAGGGTTTTTCCATTGCTGTAGTAAATCCATCCCTTTGAGAAGTGGTACTTAGGTCAATGGGAAGAATTCTTTTGTCAATCTAGTCATAGCTATACTGGGAGCTTAAACTATGTCTCTCAAATCACACCTACATTTTAGATGTAGATCTGATCACAGTCCATGAGCTTTCTCTTGAGTTTACCCTCTGGAATCGCATAGTAGGAAAATTCAAATGCAAATTCCAGCCTGAGAACAGCCTGTCACAACTTGAATTTTAGGGTTCTAAACAAAGCAGATCCATTTTTCTAGATCAATAGTAAGGAGAGGAGAGAAGGGGAAAACGTGATTAAATGAGCAAACCTTTCCTTTACCTTCCTAGAAACTCCCATTTACAAGGCATTCAACAGCCATTGCCATTTCTACAACAGGAGTGTCCTATTAAACACATCTCAGGTTACATTTGTGTCTTTTGGACACTGCTTTAAGATCATTTAGAACCACTACACACCAGCTGTAGTTTACAGCACAGAGATAACCTGTAATGCCCTCCAAAGGGGGGTTACTCAATTGCATACACTCAGAGCCCTTCACCATATGACATTCTAGACTTGCAGTGGTTTCTTACATATTCTTGTGCTCTCCATGCATTCACAAAAACAAATGCAGTGCCCACCCCCTGAGTAACACAACAAGTGTATTTTCAAGTTAAATGTACAAAGGGTTTCAAAATTATGTTGGTTATTTTTCCATTTACTACTGCAAATTCTCGACCTGATTGGATGCCAAAAGATACTGAAGATCACTTTGAGGGAGGATAAATAAGTATTTAACAGGGAACACCTGCTCAGACTCTCTTCACAGGCAGGAATTGCTATTCAAATATTGCATACGCAGGATCGTCACAGGCTAACTGGACCTTTAGGAGGAGTTTGGCTCAGCCTCCCCTGGAGCAGGCCAGCCACTCTCCCAGCTGGTCCTAAATGACCAAGGATCAGAGGGCCCTAGTCAATTATTGGGTCCAGCTGAGGAGAGGTCAGAGGGTTTTTAATAACACAGCTGGGCAAGCTCAGCCAGAAGGAAACCAGAAGGAGGGTTGGGTTCACTGGGGCCCAGAAGAACTGGGAGAAAAGCCAGGGAATATTCTGTTGTTTCATATGGGACTTTGATTTTTCTGGGAGCGAGAGAGAGTTGAGCCCTTTAGAAGCAGGTGACCAACCATCTGTTTTCTGCTACATTAGGACTCTGAGGGAAGAAGCATGAGTCAGTGCTGTGGTAAAAGACTGAAAGAGGACAGTCTCATCTCAAGAGGGCCAGAAGACTGGGGGGGGAGGGGGAGGGATGAGTCTTACACATCAATGGGAGTGACTGAAAAACTGGATGGGGGAAACTGAGACAGGGAAACCACAAGGCCTTAGAGAGGGTGAAACTGGGGCAAGAATCTGGAAAAAAGGGAAATGATCAACTTACTTTTTGGATGTGTATGTGAAAAGCCAGCAACATTGTGATGATGGTGTTATTATTACTGATTATTTGTTTTACTGGTGTACAGAGGGGCCTTAGCCCTAGCCCAGGACCCCATTAGACTAGGCACTGTATAAATACAAAACAAAAGGACAGTCCTTGCCCTCTCGAAGTACAATTTAAATGTAAAACAAGAGAGACAACAGATGGGGAAGTAATCACTGAGTAATCACTGAGACAATACTGGTCACAGGATAGAGTGTGATATTTGCACAGTAATAGTCTAAGTTTTCTGTAGCTACAGTGGTACAGGAAGGTTTGGGGGAGGCATTTGAAGGTGGATTAGGAGATGGCTTTGTGGATGTTTCACAGGGCTGGACTTGATGACCTCTTGAGGTCTCTT